AGGATGACGCAGAGGAGGTCTGCAAAATGGTTTTTTCCATGTTCGATACCCGGTATGTCCCGAATTTTTGCGGCAACCCCTTTGACAAGGATCATGCTCTGCACGCGAACGCGGTCGTGAGCTTTCCAGCCGACTTGTGCTACGTCCTCAGGACGGTCCAGATCCTCCGTGGGATGAGTGGGGGTCTGGGGGTGGACTTTGACCTCACGCAGGTGTGGGCTCCAATGGCGGAGGAATTTTTGAAGCGTGAGGCGGCGGTGAAGAAGGGAAGGACAAGCGTGGGGAGGGAGGACGAAGATGTTTTGGATTTAAGTCGCGCGGTGACACTTTGAAGGGGGAATGAGAAAGTGACGCCTCAAGGGAAATTTGGAGAGCGAAACTTGATGAGGCGAGGAAGTTGGTGTAGCCGAGGGATAAAGGAGGCAAAGTCAGAGGGTCATTTTGTGAGCAAGAAATGCATAAAATGTACGTGAGATCACTGGGTTCGTCAGGCAAACGGAGCGTGAAAGCAGTTTTTAGAACATTATATCTTCTTGTAAATAAAGAAATAAGCGCCATTAATTTGAAAATACGGGTGAATGAATCGAAGCAAAGGCGGGAATGGGCTCGTATTAACTATTCACCTGCTAAAGAGAAGCGCGATGCAAGCGCACAGAGGAGGAAAGTAAAGAACGCACCCGGTCATTGCCAAATGTACCGGAGATGCAGAACCCGGTAGAGTCAAATGCCAAAAAAGCTCCATTTTTATCAGCCTTGGTGCTATTCTAGATGTTGACATTGAATTATCCCGTCGTATGGTAAGCTTACTTGTGTGTGTACATTGATGGAAGAGAAACGCGGCTAAGGAAAAGAGAAAAGTATTCAAAAATTTAAAAAATCGTTCAATTTTGAATCATTCGTAGGTCCTCACCTTTTCCCATCCCTCGACGCGTATGATCCGTCTCTGGCTCCTTATGTGAAAAGATGCACTTTGACAGAACTATGCTTGGTACAGGGTGTATAATTAGGCATATGTGACCCTTTTTAAAATATGCATGACCTGCTCCATTCCATAACCCTAACCCTAACCCTAACCTTGTCGGTGGCGTTAGGGAGACGACTTGAGTCTCGATCGGGCCGAAGGGGTCTAAAAGGACATTTTTGCTTCATTCTTTCTCTTCTTCTTTTTCGTTGTGATTACTCATCCCTCTTTTCCCATTTTCGCCATCTTGTAGGGTTTTAGCATTTTTTTCCCCGTCATCCAGCGCAATGAGCGCCCAGCAAGGATGCCGCATGCGATCAACCTTTCTCCTCGCATTCCTGCTCCTAGCCGCCTATCTTGACACAGTTAATGCTCGAAGCCTACGTTCCGATAGCACCCAACGCAAAGAGGAAGACCCATCTTCACCTTCTATCTCTTCTGGGACTGTTTCCGAGCCTCCTGTTTTTCCTCCCGCTTCCTCTGCCTCGATTGACGACGCCAAGCTCTCGTCTGACTCTTTGAGTGAAGCCACCCCAGACACGAGTCTTCCTGCAGAGAGTGATGTCCTGGATGACATAAGTGCCGTCGACAAAGCCGAGAGGGAGGCTTTGGAGCGATTACACGAAGATATGCTCCTGGCTGTCATGTCGGCCTCTGAAAACCCCTCCCCCGACCCACATGGCTTCGTCTCCCAGCCAGACGCCCGCGACGGGCACCGATACCTGGAAGCGGATGAGAGCATCCATTTTGGAACCTCCCCCTCCAGCCAGCAGCTGCTCACGCCGGAAGACCCCGAGGTGGCCCCCGTCGGAGCGGAAGCGGAAGCGGAGGCGGAGGCCCTGGCCAAGGCTCAGGCAGAAAGAGCGGACCTGGAGCACTTGCACGAGGATATGCTCCTCTCTCTCATGGCAGCCGAGGGCCAGGACGATACCTCGGGCCCGCCGCCCCCCCGGCGTTTGCAGTTCGGTATTCCGGGAGTTCGGATCCCAGGGGTCGGGGGGTTCGGGGGCATCTGGCGGTATGCGCGGTATGCCACGCGGGCGGCTCGCATGGGGGCCAACGTGGTCCGGCAAACCGCTAGGACGGCGCAGGAATTGGATCAGGTCGGGTGCAAAGGCAAAAGGGAGGGAGGAAGGGAGGGAGGGAGGGAGGGACAGAGGGTGGGCTATGTCTCCGTTTCCTTTGGGCCGTCCCGCCATATCTCATCTTTCTCCCCTTTCCTTCCCCCTCTAGACGCGCCAAG